CCCTCCAAGGGTCTGACAATGACCCCAAAATGACACTGAACCTGGTCAGCACTGATGGTAGTGACCCCAGATAAAAGGGATCCTCAATTGCAAACAGAAAGATAGAAGAAGCAGAAAGATAGAAGGGATTCTCAATTGCAATGACTATAAGGCACTGCTGTGACCATACCAGGGGTATATCACTTCCCTGTACCCACCAGACAGCAGTAACCCAGAACAACAGCAGCCTTCTGACACCAGTACCCTGGTCAGAAAATTCCCACAAGAGCAATGGACAAACAACAGTGATCTCACAGAGCAGAAATCCGGGCCACAGAGATCTTGTGTGGCTCTGACCCAAGCTTTGTTCCAGCACTCACCGGTTGAGAGCAAACGTGTAGTGGAAGCAGACATTGTGCTGCTCGGCCACATCACAGGTGGGCAAGGCCTGCAGCGTCTCCACCAGCTCAATGATGGCTGAGTAATCCTGCAGGAGGGAACAGCCAGTCCGGTCCTAGCACGATAAGCTGTAAGCCCTGAGAACGCTGAACCAGGGTCCTGTCACCTCTCACATCATTCTTTTCTCTCTGCACACCTCCCTTAGGCCCTAGAAGCCACTGTGTGCCCACACTGGTGTTCCCCACCTACAACTCCCCTGGGGGCAATAACATCAGCATCCCTGCTATGAATCTGAAAACTGAGGCTCAGAGAAGTGAGATAATTTGCTCAGAGCCACAACTGACACAGACAGGAGCTTGGGTTTGCCTGATAGCAAAATGTCCACTACCTGCTCTCCTCCCTGAACACCACAGACCTGCACATCGCGGTAGGACAGCAGCAGGTTCATGACGATGTCAGGGCTCAGCAGCTCCACACTGTCCAGTCTCCGCTGCAGGCGAGCCAGTTCCTGCCGAAGCTGCTGCCCACTGAACCGCTCCCGAGCCTGCCGGATAGCCTGCCGAATGGTCTCCCGGAAATAGCCACTGATGCCCAGGCCAGGAGAAGGAGGGAGAGAGAATGGAGGGCCTGTCCCTCAGTCCAGCCTCCTCCTGGTGCACCCTCCCTGAGAGCCCCCATTACCAGGAGTCCGTGGAGGTGGTCTCCAGTAGGCAGGCAAGCCGGCCCACCAGGGGAGTGAGCAGGGCCTCGGTGCCCACCCCAGCCTGTACCAGCCCATCAGCCAGGCCCTTCAGGAGGCCTGCATCACCACACAGCACCCGACCAGTGGCCGTCACCACATAAGGGATCAGTGTGTAGCTGCCAGCACAGTCCTGGTGGGAGGGAGGCAGGAGTTAGTGGGGGTCAGAGGTCAGCACAGAGTTAGAGAGGAACAGAGAGGGGGTCTGAAGTTAGTACCAGTGAGGATTAGAATAGTAGGAAAGGACCACATTTCATAAAGGAGGCCATAGGGAATAGAGAGCCACTTGGGTGCCAGGGCGCCTTCAGGAGGTCAGAGGTAACTGAGAAAGGCAGGAAGGTTAGTGGAGGTCAGAGTTGATAGCAGAGGTCAAAAGCACACTGGAGTGAGAGATGGGCTCTGCTCACCGAGTTCTTCTGGAAAATATCCTCCTGCAGGAGGCAGACAGTCAGATACTAGCATTCTGGGAAGGCTTTACCCCAACCCTGCATCTGTCCCCATGAGCCACCTGCCACCTACACGTAGGGCCTGCAGGTCAGGGAGGTCAGCCTGGGAGCAGAGGAGCACGTTGTTGGTCATGCTGAAGCTCTCACGCACGGCAAGGTGGTAGAACAGGGAGGGTTGTGCCAGGGAGCTGCTCACCTCCAGCACCACCACATCTGTGGGCACAGAGGTGCAGACCTTGAGCCCCAAAGGCCCGCTTGGTGGGGAAGGAGCCTGGGGGAGGGGGTACCTGTCTTGCTGTAGGACTCCAGCCAAGTCCAACTCTGTTTCAGGCCTGTTGGCCTTGCAGAGTCCCCAGCACTGACAGCTGTAGTGCTGCAGAGGAGGAGATGGACTCACTGGGCTGGGCTCCCCATGCCAGATGCAGCCCTGTGCCGGCAGAGGCGGCCACAGGAGTGCTGCAGCTCAAACCCTGTTATGGGTGCAGGAGTGGTGCAAACGCGGAAGTCGCCTGGATCTGGTCTCTTCAAAGCAGCCGGCACCGTTAGTGTGTAGACAAAGCTGGACCTGTATGTGTGTATGTGTAACTCACTGTGTCCCACTGTATCTTCGTGTGACAAGATCTGCAGGGGGTTGTGTGAGTCAACATGGGTATGATTTGTGAGTTGACGACTCTATATGCGTCTTTGTGCCCTCCTGGACGGGTCAGCCTTCATTTTTAGGCTGCAATGCCATGGATATCCAGGAAGCATGGTTCCCGGATTCTCAGATGAACAAATGAGGAGGGAGCCGGGCGGAGATCCGGGTTGGAGGGAGCAAGGCGTGATCTACGCGGGAAAAACTGGCTCCCCTCCCCGCCCCGCCCCGCCCCGCCCCCGCCGCTCCTATTCTTGGCTGCGTCTCCAAAGCGAAATTGCCTCTCCCAGAACCCAGACCGGATGGGTCCCTTGCTTTTCTTTCCGCCTCTTGGGCCCGATCGTTGGAAGTTGTAAAATTAGGACTTCTAAAGTCCAGCTTGTCAGGAGCGGGCCCCACACTCCCCTCCAGGATTCATCCTCAAAAGCTCCACAAGAAACAGGGCGTGGCGGCGCACGCTAGTAATCCCAACATTCTGGGAAGCTGAAGCTAGAGGATTGCAAATTTGAGTTTTACATGGCCAATTTCACGATACCGTGTCTCAGAATTTTAAAATAGGGCTAGGGAAATAACTCAGGGGGAAGGCCCTGGGTTGAATCTCCAGTACTAAAGATAATAAAATCTCCGCGTGGGATCAACCGAAGTTGGAGTTCTCCATCGCTCCCTGAGAACTACAGTCCTGTCCCCTCTCTTAGTCCGGTCCTGGAGTTTCTAAACTGGTCTCGTCCCTGCCCACTCGGAAGGCAGGGCCTCGACTGAAGTGCGCTTACACTCCAGCCCTGAACTCTGGAGCCAGGTGAATCTCCAGCTCGCGAGCTCAGCCACACTGCCCCTAAACTCCACTGCAGTCACAGCCTGGGGTCCCTTAGCTCTAACTAACTCCCCGTGGGTCCCCAGACCCCTCGGCAGCTCCGCCCCTCCCCGCCCCTCGCCCCGCCCCCGCGCTCACCCGCATTGTAGAAGGAATCCAGCGCGGTGGTGTCACCCAGTGCCAGGGTCCCAAAGGGCAGGCTACGCAGCTGTGGCGGTGGCCGCGGCCCCGAGAGCTGCGCACAGGCCTCGCGCAGGCAGCGTAAGGGCAGTGGTTCCGTCTCGGTTCCCGCCCCAGGTTCCACCTCGGGCCGCGGCTCCAGGGTCAGAACGTAGACCACGCTGAGGGGCCGGCTCCGCGCGCAGCTGCGGCCCGGGGGCGCTGCGACCGGCCGACCCCGGCTCAGCGCCTCGGCCAGCGGGTCCTGCCAGCAGCTGCCTGCTCGCTCCAAGGTCCCGGACCCGGGACACACCCCCGCCATGAGGGGGCGCTCAGGCGCCGGGCGCCTGGAACCCCGGCCAGGGCAGGAGGAGCCTGCGCGGTGAGTCCAGGGATCTGGGGAGCTGGGATCCCGGTGAGATCCGAGAATCTCCTACAGGATCTGGTGTCCGGAGACTGGTCCTGGTTCGTAATCTGATGTCCAGGGAGAAATCAGCTCAGACTTGCAAGGTTCTTGAGGATCTCAAATCCCAGACTGGGTTCGGGAATACCCGCGATCTTCGGCTTAGAGTCAGTGGCTCTGGGAAGCTCGGCCGACACTCAACCCTGCCCTCACTTGTAGGCCCAGCCCAGCCCTTTCCCGACAAGGAAAGCTCCACCCTCGGCCTTGGGGCAGCGCCGCTCCCCAGCAGCTAAGGACTGGGCCTCTTCCCTCCCTCCTCTCCCGCCAGAACCTCTGACACTGGCCGCTTCCGGTACAGCTGTGCCCCTGTTCACGCAAACCACCCTGGACTGCTCACTGCAGGCGCTCCAAAGATGCAGATCCAGGTCTGGTATAGGGAACGAGCTGGACCCAAAGGCTCTGCCTAGCAAGCTCTGCTGAGTGAGTGCGGCTCAGAGCATCAGGTGTACGCGGGGAGTTGAATTAGTGAGCGTCCAGAATCCTTGAGGCCCAGTGAGGGACCTGGCTTCAGAGCTCTTGCCAGGGGACTGCTTGTCCCTGAACTAAGCTTGCTGTGGAGCCCTGCTGACCTTTGACTTTACCCAGAACATGACAATGGAGCCTGAGAAGCACTTTTCACTGTAAACATTTCTCTACCCACCCCTTGAAGGAGGACCTCAGAAACCTCAACCCTTTGGGCTCCAGCTACATCCCAACTTCACATCCCCAAAAATATTTAGTGTGCATTAGTGACCAAGGCAACAAGCCGATTTAAACCTCAGTGGACCTTGCAATCAGGAACTGGGGAAGAGATTGAGTAACTTGTCCAGAATCAGCCACATGACAGAGCAGGCTGCAAATGCAGGACTACCTGTCAGACTTTTAATTATTTGTTTCTGTCGCCACTTAATATTGATGTGGCTTTGGGCAAATGAACTGCTCAATAATTGCTAGCTTGGTGACTGTTGTTTTGTTGCTTTGTTGCCTCATGGAAGAAAAATGCACCTTCCTTGGTCTGACCCAGAGTTCAAACCAGCTCCCCTCGAGAGAAGCAGCAAGGGTGAGAACTTGGCCCATAACAGAGGCTGAAGCGGAAAACAAATAATCTACAAGGACAAGCATGAGCGACAGAGAGTGTCAGAAAGTTGTGCAATTCCTGCTACAAAACTGTTCACTTGGCTGGTTGTAGAGGCGCATACCTATAATGCTAGCTCTTGGGAGGCTGAGGCAGGAGGATCAGCACAAGACTGAGGCCAGCTTCATAGGGAGCTATATAAGGAGTTGAAGTCCAGCCTGAGCTATATAAGGAGTTGAAGTCCAGCCTGAACTAGTGAGATCCTGTCTTAAAAAACACAACAAAAACTGTTCACTTGCCAAATGACTCGGGTGAACCAAAAATGCTTGAATTCCTGCTAGTCTCCCTCCTGGAAACCCCTTTGGCCTTCTCTTACACACTTCTGGGGACAGAAGCCTCATTACCTTAGAAGGCTGTCCCTTCCATCTTCCTGATTAGAAGACAGTTGAGAATTATGGGAATTTATATCCCTGTTCTGCCTTTTAGGGTTTTTTGCCCAGTAAGTGAGAGTCCCAAAAGCCAGGAAAGGATTAAAATGATTTATTTTTAGATGTAGACAGGGAAGCAGAGGCCGTTGGCAGTGGGGAGGTGGCTGAGGGTCCGGAAGCTGCACAGAACAGATAAGGCTGCCCTAGCGAATCTTAACCTTGTGGTAGTTGTGGTTCACACGTTGGCCTGAGCCCCAGTCAATGCCGCACTTGGGGGCAAGTAGACACTGTATAGAGCCCATTGAGATTAGAATGGTAGCAGGATCCATACCACCAGGCACCATGGGCAGTCACTGCACAGTTGCCCTCCTTTGAATCCTGGTCAGCATCTGCTTTAGCACCCCAAACCATGCCTGGCATTCATGGAGGGTTTGTTTTGTTTTGTTTTGTTTTTTGTCTTTTCCCTTTTTATCGGTACCGGGGATCGAACTCACGACTGCCTGCTTGCAAGGCAAGTGCTTATGCCGCTGAGCTAAATCCCCAGCCTTTGTTGGTGTCTTTTGAGACAGGGTCTCACTATGCAGATCAGGCTGGCCTTGAACTCACTTTGTAGCTCAGGCTGGTCTGGAACCTACAACAATCCTCCTGCCTCAGCCTCCCAGATGTGGGATTACAGGCATGAGCCACCATCCCTGGCTCATTCTTGGAGATTTTTAACTGGCAGATGATATCAGGCCCCTTGAGACAAGAACAGCACCAAGGATGTTTTGCCCAGAGTCACTCAGCTCATCAGGGGCAGTGAGACTTGAACTCAGGGCTGTCTAGCTCTCAAGCTACCTGCTCCTTCCCCTGCCTTATCCTTCCAGAATCCAAGCTTCCCTCTAGCTCTTTTTTTTTTTTTGGCTTTTTTTATCAGTACCAGGGATCGAACTCATGACCACCTGTTTGCAAGGCAGGAGCTTATGCTGCTGAGCTAAATCCCCAGCCCCTTCCCTCTAGTTCTTTTGTCTCATCACAGTTATGGTCAGCAGCCTGAACAGCTGTGCCAGGAGGAAGCTCTCGGGTGCCCCAGCAAGAAGGGGGGCTCCCCTAAGGCCCCTCCCCATCACCACTTCTGCCTTTCAGCATTCACTGCTGCTCCTGGTTCCTCTCCCAGAGCAGAGAGGACACTAACACTTAACAGAACACTAACACTTAACAGAGTCTGTGGGAGCACTCACACCACTATGTTGCTGCCTCACTAGTCTTATAGAGGAAGAAACTGAGGCTCTGATGAGGGAGGGACTTGCCCAAGGTCACATACCAAGTGGCAGAGTTGGACTCAAGCTGTTTTCCTCTAAGGTCCCAATTCTTTCCCTCCTGTGCCACCTTTTCTCAGGATTGCCATTTCTCAGACGTGGAAACTGAGGCTACCGAAGGGAAGATTGTCCTGGGTCATTCGTAGACGTAGTGGCAGTGCTGGAAAAGAAGCCAGCCTTTCCACTGGACCCACTCCTCTGGGCCCATTAGTGAAGCTCACTCACAGGCAGTATCTTCTGAGAACTTGCCCAGTGCCAGCTGGTAGTGGTCTTTCTCCCCAAGGAGGCAGGTCTCATAGTGCACAAAGAAGTGGTTGCCGGTAAAGTCCTCCAGCTCTACAGGAAGCTCCCAGGTACCTGGGAGGAAGAGGTGGAGCTGGGATAGTGGACCCCTCAAATCCCAAGGTGGTGGGGGTCCCTCCACCCCACAGGGAACTCATCCTGCAGAGCGAGCTGGTGCAAATTCTCATTCCCCAGCCAGGATTCAGACTCCTGGCTCCCAAAATCTGCTTTGTAAGAAGACCACGAACAGAAGAAATCCACAGAACCCTCCTGTCGCCTCTGGAACACCTGGGGAGCCCAAGGGGACTGGCACACCAGCTATGGCTCCAGCCACAAGGTAGGGATGAGCGAGCAAGGGAAGTGGCCACTGGGCAGTGAGGGCCGGGGGGCACTTCCCTTCCTTCAGCTGGGGGCTTGTAGATGAGCATGAGCCCTCCTCGTAAGCTTTGCCTGTGCGTATACTGCACACTGTGACACTGAACATTCTACCACACATGGAGGCCCTGCGAGGGGCAGTATGTGCCAGGAGGAAGGGCACATCACCTTCCACATCATCAGGCCCCAGGAGACTCAGATTCAAAATAACTTGCTTGAATTTACTGTGATAAAAATTAAAATATTTAGCTAGGAGTGTGGTGACACCTGTAACCCCAGCACTTAGGAGGCTTAGGCAGGACTGCTGAAAGTTCAAGGTCAACCTGAGCTACATAATGAGACCCTGTTTGGGAAAAATAAAAAGCATTAAAATATTTAAAGTGGAGATGTCACTCCCAGAGGCCCAAACCTGGGCTTGACTCTACCCTGCTGTTCTCTTGCCTTCCCTGTCCAAACCAAACTGTCCTTCAAATTTTTAAAATTTTTTTTATCGGTGCCAGGGATCGAACTCAGGACCATGTGCTTGCAAGGCAGGTGCTTATGCCGCTGAGCTAAATCCCCAGCCCCTTCAAATATTTTTTAACCTAAGTATCTCTCATTCCACTGTTGCCACTTTTCACTGCCAGTACTATACGGGTCATATTCTCACTGCAGTTAGGGGTCTGTGAATTCTTCTAAAGGATGCCTTGTCCCAGTGGGCGCTAGCTCCCCCTAGAGGCTGAGGGGAGAAGTGCTCACAGCCACCCCCTACTCACCAGCCAGCGGCCCCCTGCGGTGTCCATGGCACAAAACACTGGGAGGATCCTGCTCTCGGGCAGACACAAGTGATATCAGCCACTCAAGGTGGCGCCCTGCCTCAGCAACTCCTGACAGCTCCTGGGGCCTGGGAAAGGGGAGATACACTGGGTGGAGTAGGGGGTGGGGGTACATTATTCCTCAAACCCCACCACTCGACACTGGAACAAGTGTGGGCCTCTGGGAGGTCTTCTGACTCCCTTGGGCTCCTGAAGTGGAGCTCTAGGGAGGGCTGCGGGGCAGAGTGGAGCCACATCTGAGGCTCTGCATCACCAAGGCACTGACTCCTGTGAAGGCCACCTCATCATCACGGCACCGGAACATATTCCCCGGATCTCCCGTCCCAGGGAAGGACCAGGTGTTGGCTCTGAGGTCCAAATACCCCTACTGGGATGAGGGTTCAGGCTCTTCTCCTAATTCTCCCCACTGTGTCTACCTCCCCACCCTCAGTGGGTGGGCAATCATGGCCCACTGCTGAGTGGCAGTCACAGAGACATTCCACCCCTCTAGTCTTGGGACAAAAAAAGGTGGGCAGTACCAACCCCATTCACTCAGCTGGCTCACCCTTGGGACCCATCTTGCCAGTGGCCCTGAAATCCCTGAAACAGAGATGCCCTGAGTCCTGAGTCCCAGGACCAAAAGAAACAAGGGGCTTGGAGCCAAAAGGTTCCAATCTCATTTTTATCCTTTCCTTTCTATTTGGAGGCAAAAAACCACACCCTCTCTGAGCCTCATTTCCCTTCAGCAAAATGGGGACACCACCACCTACCTGAAGGTCTTAGGATGCCGGACACCTGCCCATCTGGTGCCTGGCACAGAGGAGGTTCCTCAGTCTGGACAGCGACGGCTACATTTCTAGCCTCCCCAGGTTCCCCAAGGGCCCGGCCACCTCCCCAGCATCTGTCACCTTGGGGACCTGGAGCTCCTTTCTCCCCAGGACTTCCTGGGGTTCCAGGACAACTGGGTGGGAGAACAATTTTGCTGGCTTCCAGTTCCCTGGGATCTGCAGGGAGACGTGGTGTCAGCGGGCACAGGGTGGGTGTGTCTCTCCCAGAGCCCTCTACAGTTTAGTCTCACGTCCACATTCCTGCTGGCAGGATGCTTGCTGCTGATGGGGAAGGGTTTGTACTGTTTCTATCCTTTATGCATATATTTGCATACAGAACCCAGACTGTCAAACTGCCACCCTGCTCCTTGGGACAGGGAGGGTTGAGAGGTGGGGTAACAGAGAGCATCCTCAGCTCCTGCCTGGGCATCTGGGGTGTTCCTGGGTCCTCAGGGAAGCAGGCCCCCAAATAGGAAGAACAAAGACAGTGGTGTCCACAGTACGCCCATCTTGCTGGATTCATCCGAGTGAAGATTTCAGTGCTTTTTTTTTTTTGGCATTTTGAGACAGGGTCTCGCTATGCAGTTCAGGCTGGGCTTGAGCTCACTTTGTAGCCCAGGCTGGTCTCAACTCAGCCTCAATCTTCCTGCCTCAGCCTCCCCAGTGCTGGGATTACAGGTGTGAGCCACCACGCCTGGAAGATTTCAGCTTTTATAAGGAGCCAAAATGATTACAGAACCTGGAGCAAAACTTCCTCTCATTGTCCCGGGGGACACCCCACCCAGGCCGGAGCCGCCAGGGGGTGGGACATTTCCTCTGTCAGCCCAGAGAGAACAGACATTGTTCCTGTCTTGTCCAGGTGGATTCCAAGCGTCCCAGCCATCTCTCCAGATCTCTGCATTCATATGGCTTTTCCTGTTTATCTATTTATGACACTGGGAATTAAACCCAAGGTCTCACACATGCTAGGCAAGTACTCTATCACTGAGCTACATCCCCAGCACTTTTATTTTTTTATTTTTATTTTATTTTATTATTTAAAAAAATTTTTAGATAGAATCTTGCTAATCTGCCGAGACTGGGCTGGATCTTGCAATCCTCCTGCCTTACCTTTCCAGAGTGCTAGGGTTAGAGGCAGGTGCCACCACCCTCACTCGATTTTCTGACCTTTAACCTTAGCTCATTTTGTGCTTTCCATCTGGAATTCTTTTTCATGTCCAACCTGTCCATGAAGGTCCAGCCCTAAGGCTGTTTTTACTATCTTGGCCCTTTCGGGGCCTTGTTAACAGTATTACTAGGGTCCACTGCTTAAGGCACTTGCTTAGCAGGTGCCATACCCTGGCACCACTAAAAAAATAAAAATTGTGACATTGCTACTATTTATGAGGCACTGCTGCACTCAGAGGTCATGCTGAGTGTGGGTTGTACATCATCTCCAATTTTCTGAGGCCTCGCTCTTGCCGTGGGTCATATGCCTGGTGCAAAGCAGGGGCTTGGGGCTCAGCACTCTAACTGGATGCAGGTATAGCTTGGTGATAGACAATGTGCTTCTTGTACACACAGGGCTCTGAGTTCCATACCTACACCCAAGTGTGTTGCATGCCTATGTACTTATGTATTTTTAATTTATACATACATTCATTTTGTTTTTGAGATAGGGTCTCACTATGTAGTTCAGCCTGGCCTTGAACTCACTATGTACTCCAGGTTGGCTTTGAACTCGTGACAATGCTCCCCTGAGCGCCCTGAGAGCTGGGATTGCAGGTGTGGGCCACGTGCCCAGCATCTACATGCATATGTTAAATGAATGGAGGAGGAGACAATCCAATCCGAAGCCCAGAGTTGGGACATGACTTTTGTTGACTTTGCCACCTACAAACCCAGAGCCACAGAGTTTTTACCCAAGTCCTGTGCTACCCACCAGGCAAAAGCATCCTCAGTGTTATGGATTAAAAACTGGTAGTCAGCTTTTTTTTTTTTTTTTTTGTCTTTTTCATTTTTATCGGTACCAGGGATCGAACTCACGACCGCCTGCTAGCAAGGCAGGTGCTTATGCCGCTGAGCTAAATCCCCAGCCCCTGGTAGTCAGCTTTTAACACCAGCTGAATTAAATCAGCATGGTGCTGTGTGTGGATGGCCTGCCTACCTGAAGAAAGTTGCCAGCATAAATAGAGATATTGAGAAGAGGAGCTGAGCGTTTTGGATTCTCCTAAGTGTTGCTGTTTTGAGCCATTGGTTCTCTTGGATGAGCTCATCATGCTGGCTTCTCTGATATGAATTTGGCCATTATCATAGGTGGAGCTCAGGACCTTATCAGTGACAGTGGCTGTGCTTCACTTTGGGGGAGCTCTGGCCCTTACATTGAGCATCACTTCCTGATTCCAGAGGGGAAAGGGTATGCCATTTAATCTTCAGGAGAAGCTTGTCACGCTAACTTTCTGACATGTATTCAACTGTTCTCATCATTAGAGGAGCTTGGGACCGCCTTGTCACTGAGGATGGCTGTGGTACTTTTCAGGGCAGCCCTGGTTCTTGTTTTCAGTGTGACTTCTTGGCTCCAGGAAAGAACCCTCAACTGACTGGCACAGCTCCTTGATCCGTTGGCATAGACTTTCTGGCTTCCACCACTGACCTTGAGGCTTTCCCAGCAGATCTCTACAATAGACTGGCGTGAGTCCTTGTTGTGAGCTGTAGACCCCTAGTTGGACTCATGGGAGGCATTGCCATGGGATCTAGGTCTTCAGCTGGACTCTTGCAGGACATTGCTTAGGGATCCAGGCCCTTGGCTGAATATTCTGGGTCTTTAGTATTGTGGACAGATTTCCTGCACTTTGTGTTTAACTCTGGGTGACCATCATAAAATATTATGAATTCTGTGTCCTAATTGTTCTCCTCACAACCCCTGACTACAACACTTTGGGGAACGATTGCCCTAGCACACCAGGCCTATGCTGGTGGGGGTAGAGACAGGTGATATAGAGGCGTCAGGGGAAGTGGAAGCCTGATCTGCCTAACAGGATGGGTCCCTGAGTGTACCCTGACACTGCCATTCTAGTCTAGGATTTGTCCTCCCTAAAACCCTGCACATGCACACCAGGGTCCTCACACCAGCCTGTTCAACATGCTGCTTAGGAATGTTGGGGTGTCGTTCAGTGGTGAGCACTTGCCTAGTATGCAGGAGCTCTGCTTTCATCCCTAGCTCTCACCTCGCCACACACGTCAGTGTGAAAATGACCCAAACAGCCATTGATAGAATCCAGGCAAAATGACTGTCTGGACAAGTCACAGGCGAATCTGATCTGTAATGACGGCAGTGAAGTCATAGAAAACCATGATCCCACTTTGTGTTGTGTGCATTCATAGTAAGTTCACAGAAAAAGTCTGAAACACACTGTTAACTGATTTTCTCTCTCTCTCTCTTTTTTTTTTAAGTGCTAGGGATTAAACTCAGGACCCCGCATTTGCCAAGCAGGAACTCATGCCGCTGAGCTAAATCCCCAGCCCCTGATTTTCTCTTTTTAACCCCAGTACTGATGATTAAACCCAGGACCATCACATTGAACTCATTCGAGTCTTTATGTTTTTGTTATTTAATGATGTCTTTTTTGGTATGGAGAATTGAACTCAGGACCTTGTGCTGCTCAGGCAGGTGCTTATGCCTGCTAAGCTACATCCCTAGCCCTAACAGCAGGTCTTGCTATGTCATTAAACTGCCTTGGTTGGGTTCAAACTTGCATCGTCTGGTCTCAGCCTCCCAGAATACTGGAGTTGCAGGTGTAGGCCACCAGGCCCTCCATTTAAAAATTTTTTTTTTTATTTTTTAAGACAGGGTCTTGTTATGTAATTCAGGCTGGCCCTAAACTTGTAGCAATCCTCCTGCCTTAGCCTCCTAAGTGTTGGGATTACAGGGATGCTCTCTCACTTTTCTTTTTTTTTTTTTTTTTTATCGGTACCGGGGATTGAACTCACGACCATGCGCTTGCAAGGCTGGCGCTTATGCCGCTGAGCTAAATCCCCAGCCCCTCTCACTCTTTATATAAATTTCTGTGTATCCCTTTTCTCCCCTCATAGGCATTTACATTTTTTTTTTTTTTTTTTTTTGCAGAGAAGGACAGATTCTTACTATGTGGTCCTGGCTGGCCTCAAACTCACAGCAATCCGCCTGCCTCAGCCCCCTGACTGCTCAGATTACAGGCATGTACTGCCATGCTCAGCCAAATTTACTTTGGAAAGAAAAAGAACATTCCATAAAGGAAGCTAAGAAGCTGGGCATAAAAGCTGGGCATGGTGACCACACCTGTAGTCCCAGCACTTGGAGGCTGAGGCAGGATTGCTGTGAGCTCAAAGTCAACCTGAACTACATAGTGAGTTCAAGGACAGCCTGAACTTTATAGGGAGAACCCTGTCTCAAAAAACCAACCCTCTCCCCTGCAAAAAGGCCAAGCATGGTAGCACAGACCTGTAATCTACAAATTCTGGGAGGCTGAGGCAGGAGAATAGCAAGTTTGAGCTCACCCTGGGCAACTTGGACACTTAACAAGATCTTGTCTCAAAATGAAAATAAAAATGGGATAGGGCTGCAGCTCAGTGCAATCCCCAGTGTCACAAAATACAAACACTTGGAGAAGAGAGGAGGCCAGGCAGGCTGGGAACAGGAGTAGAATCAAGGGGCTGGAGAGGTCCTGACGATGGGAGGGTGGGAAGCAGGGGCCTAAGGAGGGGGGAGGACGAGGTTTCTGCGGTGCCATGGAACTGCCTGCGGACACCATACAGGGTCCTTTAGTGACCTCCAACTGCAGCCAGCGATGTCTAAGGGAGGCTGGCAGCAGAGGCTACACACAGGCTGTACAGTTGGAAGGGTGTCAGCTGGCTTGGAGTAAAGCAAAGGGCACCTGCACTTTCCTGAGCCTTCCCCACATTCCTCTGAGAAGACTCATTCCCAGTTCACAGATGAGGAAACTGAGGCCCAGGCCTGCGAAATAACTTGCTTGTGTTGACTCAGAACAGTATGCTCCCTCAGTTGACTTCTCAGCCCTGACTCTTCCTTGCCACTTCCTGGCACAGCTGGGATTGAAGGAGCAGAGGGAAGACCCAGCTCTGCATCTGGCTGCCAGGGGTGGTATTAGTCGAGATAATTTCTTTTCCTTTCTTTTTTTTTTTTAGTTCTTCTTCTTCTTTTTTTTTTTTTTTTTTTGTCTTTTCCCTTTTTATCGGTACCGGGGATCTAACTCACGACTGCCTGCTTGCAAGGCAGGCGCTTATGCCACTGAGCTAAATCTCCAGCCCCCAGTCGAGATAATTTCTATGTCCAGGGATGGAGATGGACTATCTAGGGAGGCCATAGTGAGCAAGACCAGAAACAGGGTCTCTCTACCTTAGCACAGGGGAGGAGATAGAGGAGGGGTCTGGGAGACCCCAAGATACCTCTGAAAGGGGGTTCTGAGATTCTGATTGCTCCAGAGCTAGGAAAGCTGTGTGACCTTGAGCTCATGTACTTACCTTTCTGGGTCCTTATCTCTGCACCTCTCCGGAGGAGGATGGGGTAGGGGTCAAAAGGAAAAATTCTCAAACAACAACAGTCCTAGGAAGAATTCTTGAGAACACAGCTGTTCCCTGAGCCCACTCCACAGACACAGCACAGACTCAAGACAGGAAGTGAAACGCTGGATAGAGAGTTCCTTTATTTGGGGGCAGAGCCTGGCGAGGTTGTGGGAAGAGGCAGTACAGACCCCAGGCATCAGACAGGATGCCCAGCAGGGTCCACGGGTGAGGCACGACATGGTTGAGGGATGCTCTCTGCTGCAGGTGCCAGGCCCAGGAGGAGGGGACGTCAGGCATCAGGCACTGAGCCCACTTGATGGCCAAAGGGGCCGGAAAGGGAGGGCCAAAGTTTCTCCCACCCTAGTGCCCAGAAGGTGGCCAGAAGGGCGGCCTCTGCGTCCTCCTCCTTCCCCTCAGTGTGGAGTCCAGGCCCAAGGGAGTCAGATACTGTGGAGGCCACCCAGAGAGGGTACTTAGGGAGGTGACCCAGGCTCAGCCAGGGGAGGACCCGCCCCCAGGAGAGCAGGCGCAGCTGGGAGAGCAAACACTTCCATTAACCTGCGCCCACACACGGCACACGGGCCCTGCACAGCCACCCGCTCCAAGGAAGCCACACAGTGCACACAGCCAGGCTCCTGCCCACAGCTCGCCTGGGCCATCACCTACTGGTTCTCCTCCCTGCTGGCAGCATGAGGAGGCAAAGATATTGGGGCTCAGCGGGGCTCCCAGACACTGAACTCAGGCTGAGTCCTGAGCCTGGCCAACATCTTATAGAAAGAACCCCAACTGGAGGAGTAAAAAGGGGTGCAGCTCACACAGGGACATTGGGAGTGAGTCATGGCTCTAGGGCCACCCCTGGGCAGGGGAGTGGGGACAGCCCTGGTGGCCTGGTACTCACAGTGTCTGGTAAGTGCTGTCCTTGGCCTTGAGGAAGCGCAGCACAAAGAAGGCCACTGCCTGCAGACTCAGCACGAGCACAACACCCCCGAGGAAGCTGGCCCCATCGAATCCAGGGCTGTGGGTTTCAGGAACTGTGGGGTTCCCTGCGGAGTGAGACAGTGTGGAGGTCAGAGCGGGGATCAGAGTCCCAGCCCACATGTGGTGCAGGACACTCTGAGGGCCTTTCTCAGTCCTCACTGTGGGGACAAGAACACCAGCTGCAGAAGGCCAGCCTGACCCTGCAGGCAGAGGGGAAGGGACAGTGCTGGGTGGGGCGTGTCCAGCCTGGCCATGCTCCCAGGTTTCTCAGTGGCTTTATGCCATGGATACCCTCTCTTAGCCTCTTGATCCTATGGGCCCAATAGGAGCGGAACCACACAGTGACCAAGCCCCCCCCCCCCCCCCCCGCAGCCTCCATCTCTCACTAGCCTAAAAGGGTGAGGATGGGTTCGGCACTCAGGTGCCCCATTCACGGGGCCTTTCAGCCGAGGGGGTCAGGGCGCAGTGTCTGATGCACATGATGAGCAGAGGGGAAGGAGGCTGAGGCCAGTATCCTACACGATGGGTAGGCAAAGGGCCAGGCTTGGCTGCAGACACCTCACAGGTAGGTAGGAAAGAGGACTCACTCAGTCTCCCTGGACCCTTTCCTCTGCTCCCCAGAGGATAGAAACTTAGGGGCACAGTTGCCAGGCAGGGTCTGGGTGGCTCCCAGCTGTGCCACCTTACCTATCAACTCCCACCAGGGATTCGGTTTCAGGCCCTGGGCTGGGTGCCCAGGGCGGGACAGGGTTGTGGGTGGAAGATCATTCTGGGACAGTGGACAGGGAAGATCATTCTGGGACAGCTGGAGGAGCAGGGTCCACTTCCCAAAGGGTGTGGGTGGTATAAGAGGGTCTGAGAATATGAAGTGCAAAGGGTGGCCCCAGCTGTAGCTCAGGGAGCCCCAGAGGAGGACACTGGAGAGGAGGAACAGAAAAGAAAGAAATGAACCACACTCCACAGATCTGGGGCTCCAGCCGAGGCAACCATCAATAATTTAGCCTCTGAGATCAGTTTCCGGCTTTAATTAACCAAAAGCCTCTTTGGCTATCTTGGCCAAGTCTGGTGACCTCCAGGCCCTGAGGGGGCAATGGGAACAAAGGGAAAGGGTCTTTGCCCTGCTTGGCCGCCTGAGAACCCCTTGGGTGTGCAGGTTGCAGTAAGTGGTCACTGAGGACATCTCATTAGCAGTCAGAGCCACACTCTCAGCTCCTGAGAGGTCACCTGACTTCCCACAACAGGTGATGGGCAGAAAGGATGGGAACCACCATTTCTTGATTGCCTTTAATGTACTGGGCACAGAACTGGGTCTTACACTGAGAGGGGACAAAGTGGATGTGGAGGGGGAAAGGGTAGCACAGACCCCAGGTACCAGACTGTCTGCCCAGCAGCAGCTCATTAAAAAAACAAGGATTTTCAGGGCATACATATATATATATATAATTGTCAGAGCCGTAGGAATCATCCAACCCATTTTACAGATGTGGAAATAGGTGTGAGCAGAAGTCAGAGGTCACTGAACATACAGTGCCTGAGCTCAGCTCTGTTTCCTACACTTCTGGACTGCTCCCCCTCCCCCCAGAGAGTACCCACCTGTTGTGATTGTCTTTGGTTCATAGGTGGGGTGGTGGTGGGCAGCTGAGGAGACAGAATCCATAATAAAACACTCTCCAGATCTCTGGCCATCAAGACCACAGTCCCAGCCAGCACCTTTACCATCAGATTTGCCCCAGCCCAACTCCAGACATCCCAGATACTTTTTTGTTTTTTGTCTTTTTCCTTTTTATCGGTACCAGGGATCGAACTCACAACTGCCTGCTTGCAAGACAGGCACTTACGCCGCTGAGCTAAATCTCCAGCCCCTATCCCACATACTTTGAAGCCTCACCCAGATGTACCATCTCCATCTTTACCTACAAGGCTCATCTCGGATGCCACCTCCTCCAGGAAGCCCTGTCCTGTTCCCTTCTAAACTTCCAAAACACTTGCGTATGCCTTCTACGCTTGATCTCAGCCAAAAGGCCAAGAAGCAATTTTTAGACTTTTTGGTATCAGGGATCAAGCTCACAAACTTGTGTTTGCCAGGCAGGCTACTGTGCCACTGAGCTACATCCCCACCCCTCCTTGCTGTGCCATTTCTGAGAACCGTTAATGCTTCCTTCCCCTCTGCAAACCTGGACCAATTACAGAGGAGGAAACAGGCCAGAGAAGGGAAGGAATTACTTTGAAAGCTAAAGGCAGAATTGAAATTGGATGCAGGTGTTTGTGGGCACAGTTCACTCCCCAAGAGAGTGCTGGGGAGACCTCACCCCCCACCTTCTGATTTGGCTTAGACCAATGGGAACTCCCTTACCAGGACAGGACTCTGAGCGGTTGTAGATAGAGCAACCCTCCTTGGCCGCCTCAGCATGGGCCACACAATGTCCTGGTGAAAGAAGTTACAGGGGAGTAGTCTGGGGAGACCAAAGCTTGGGATTCGGAGCTGGTGGCCCCAGGGTTGGGGGCCCAACTTCATACCTGGCTCCTCTGGCTGACACTGCTGCCACACGCAGTCTGAGCGGTTGTGTGCTCTGTCCCCCTCCACACATCGCTCACAGGGCTCCAGTTGTTTGCAGCCCCCTTGGACAGCAGGCCAGATGTTCAGGCGGATCAAAGCTCCCCGCCCAAAGCCTCGAGCTCCTTTACCTGGGAGTGGGCGGGAATGGGAAGGGAGCAGCTCCCACCACCATGGCTCCCATCCCTCCCTCCGCACACAGGTCCAGGATCCCACTCACCCAGTCTTCCCCACCCTCCTTAAGTCTCCCTTTGCATACACCTGGAGTCACCGCCTCCAGACACACCTGAATCCCTAATCCTCCACACCTGGGACATACATGCATGCATACACACGGTGGAGCCTCCTTCTCCCCCTAGAGCCCTGCCCGCGTCTGGAGAGTCCCCTCTCCGCAAGCCTAGACAGCTCCCAGGCAGGCGGTTGGGTGAGGGGCCTGCTCCACCTGTCCCTACCCAGTTTCTGCCGCGCATTACCAGCTTCCGCGAGCTGGGCACACAGGAGGAGGCAGCAGCAGCCTCCACAGAGCGCAGCACGCAAGGCGCGGGGTCTCCACGCGGCCATGGGCGCGGGGCAAGGGCTGGGGGCCGGCAGACAGCCGCTGTGCTGCGTCCCTTCTGGACAGGCTGGAGTGAGCTGGGGTGGGAGTGAGACCTGAGCAACAGGGGCGTGGCCGTCCTGGGGCGTGGCCAATGGGAAAGTCAGGTGGGACGGGGGAGGAGCCAATGTGGGCGTCAAAGGTGTGGCGTTCCGCTGTCTGGGCGGGGCTTGAACAAAGGGGGCGTGACCCAGAGCTAGTTACAGCTGGCTCGTTGAGCGACTCCATCCGCAGCCTCCGAAAACCGCTAAGTAGTGGCTGTTTTTATCCCTGTTCTACAGGTGAGGAAACCGAGCCTCGGAAAAGGTGAGTGTTCACACCGAGGTCACAGTGGCAAAAATCTGTACTTGAAGTAGTCACTTTTTTGCCTTCAGGCCCTGGCTCAGGCCTGGATTTGTAGGGTCCTTCCTACCCAGTCGACCCTAGGAAGACTCCAAAGGGTCTTTCACTTCTGGTTGAAAGACTTCTGCAGTCTCTCACTTCTGGTTGCCCATGCGCAGCTTCACTATTTCCTGCCTTTCAGCCCTCGAACCGTCTCTCTTCTGCCCCTCAAGCAACCACATCCTCTGGGCGATCTTGTGTCACACCCGTACCGGCTCAGGTGGGCTTTTTCCCCACAGTCACCTCTCCTGCCTGGCACCGCCTTCCCTTGGTTCTTCTCAGCTTCCTTAGGGGAAACTTCCTCCTCTTCTCCCTCCTCCTTTCTCCAGCCCTCTTTTAACAGAAGATGGCCCAGTTTAGTCCCAAGCCCTAGTCCACACTCTTTCTGGGAATATCTTGGGTATTTTTTTGGCATTGGTCCCCATTTAAAAGCCAACAGGAGCCAGGAGTTGTGGAGAACTGCAATTTCTGAGTCCTTTCTGGAAAACTTACGAAGACTCTATCTCAAAGGGCTCAGGGATGGGCAGTCCTGGATTTAGTCCACAGTTAAAACAAACAAAACATTCCCTCATCTCTATCCCCAGTCTAGTTCAGCTTCCCAGCTCTAACACCTGAAACTGCTAACATGCAGCTAATAATCATTGGCCCCTTATTACTAAGCAAGCACACATTCTATTAAGAGCTTTTGGAACCCTCCAGTCCACTGTCCACAACTACCCTCTAGGCATGATTTGTGTCATTCCCAACTTGCTTCAGGCTGCTTAGGGGCACGGTTCTGCCCTTTGCCATCCCTTCTATGGGCCGGTGCTCCCTGGGCGCCTCCACTTGAGTGCCTTCAGATCCTGCTACCACCTGATCCCTTTTCCCCATCCAGGGAGACCCTATTATCCACCATCCACCCCTCACTCAGGCTGGGAACCATGGTACTGTCACCACCTACACCTCCTCACCGCCTCAGCCCCCAGATTCAAATCCTTCCAGCCTCCTGGGTCCCACACACTCATCATTGTCATCCCCTTCTGCCTGGCTCATTGCCTCACTCCACAGGCCACTCCTGGGCCTCACAGCACAGGGCTCTAAAACTATGTCTCTTCTAATTAACAATTTTCCAACAATGGCTGGTCCCCACAACCTTTTGATTCCTGGCTCTAGAAGTTTCATTAGCCTTTCTTGGGCTCTGCATCAATTTCCTTCTGCAGCCCACCTGATTGCCTTTGCTCTAATTCCTCTCTCCTAGGGAGCAGCCTCCATCCTTTACCCCATCTGCCTGGTCAACTGATCCTTCAAGTCATTCCAAGAATGAGCTTGGAAAAAATATACCTAAACCCTTCAACACCTTCTGTTTCAAGCTTTCTCCAACCCACGGGGATCTGCTGCAACCTATCCAGGCTTATCCTTCTTCCCTGTGCAATAAAGTGGGCTCCTTTGCTTATTTAATCTCTGTCCCTTGAAACTCTTCTCTTCTGTTAAGTGACTCGCTCCATAACTGACCTACCTAAAAGAGATCTCCTGGTTATTCTACATCATCACAATGCCTGCTCTTCCCTTTGAGTCATATGTCAAATGTATAACTAATAACTTGCTTGTTTTCTGGGCTATTAAACTCCAGGAAGGAAGGAACTACGTATATCTCCTTCCCTAGTGAACTTTCTGCACATGGTATGAGCCAAGTAAATGTTTATTAGTAGCCACACTGCACAATGTTGTGACAGTTTGCATTTATGTTTGTCTGGGCCCGTGGGCCTGGAGGTCCTCAAGGGCTTCCTACTTCAGATCATATTTAAGCATCTCTGTGTAGATTGTCCAGTTCTTTCCCCAATAAAGTGGAAACTCTTTGAAGACAGAAGGGTTTTTTGTTCACTGACGTGTCCTCTGTGCCAGGCAAATAGTAGATGCTTGGTAAATATGTGCTGAATGTTGGAAATACAGAAATAAGATGAGATCATCTCTATCTCTAGCACCTACTGAAAACCAAGGCCAGGGGACTGTCAGTGAATACTAGTTAAATGAATGAACCTGCCAAGAATGCACACCATAGGGGCTGGGGATTTAGCTCAGCGGCATAAGCACCTGCCTTGCAAGCAGACGGTCGTGAGTTCGATCCCTGTTACCGATAAAAAGGAAAAAGACAAAAATAAAAAAAAAAAAAAAAAAAAAAGAATGCACACCATGAAAATGCCCATATCTCCTTGGTTTTGGACAAGTATTGAGATTACCTGTGTCTCACATACAAATGCACACACACCCACGCACACCACATCCCTCTCCCTCTAGAATTCCCTGTGGAGCTCAGGCTGGTGAAAACAGAAAAGGTAAGGGGTCCCACCTGGAGGCGAGAGCTGACAGCCATCTGGTGGCCACCTGCAGTACTGCAGGTATTGTCAACCCTAGGGAACTTCACCTGCCGCTTCCTGTAAGAGGGCACATCTAGGCTAGAGCTAAAGGCCCTCTGGACTTGGTTAAGGTTAGACCTGCCTGGCTCCAGATCCTAGCTCTGCCCTTTACTGTGTGTTTTGGAATAAGTCCCTTGACTTTTTACGGCTTCACCTATGAAAATGCCCCTTAACTTCTCAGAATTGTCAAAAGTACTGTGCTGTAGTCTGCTATGGGCAGTTTGGGTTCATGAGTGAGTGGGCACACACTTGAAAATTCATGGTCTCATTTGGCCTCTTGGGGCTTGTGCTCCCCACCTGAGATGGTCTATGTAGTCCAGGCTGGCCTTGAACTTGCTGTGAATCCCAGGCTGGCCTCACTCACAGCAATCCTCCTGCCTCCTGGGATTACAGGCACGTACCACTATACCTCTTACTCTTTCTCTCTCTCTCTATTTATTTATTTATGTATTTATTTTTGCTACCGGGAATCAAACTCATGATCTCAAGTTTACCAAACACATGTTTGTGCCATTGAGCTAATCCCTGGCCCTCTCTCTCTCTCTCTTTTTTTTTTTTTTGTACCAGGGATCCAACTCACGATCTCATGCTTGCCAGTCAGACACTTATGCCACTAATGTAAATCCAAGGCCTTCTCTTTTTCTTTTTGTTTTTTCTTTTTCTTTTTAAATTTTGAGACAGGGTCTCACTATGCAGTTCAGGCTGGATTTGAGCTCACTTTGTAGCCCAGGCTGGTGTTGAACTTGCAGTGATTCCTCTTGCCTCAGCCTTCGAGTGCTGAGATTGCAAGAATGAGCCACTAAGCCTGGTTACCTCTTTTTTTTTTTTTTTTTAAAGACAGGCTCTTGGGGCTGGAGATTTAGCTCAGCGGCATAAGCGCCTGCCTTGCAAGCAGGCAGTCGTGAGTTCGATCCCTGGTACCGATAAAAAGAAAAAAGACAAAAAAAAAAAAAAAAGACAGGCTCTTGCTATGTTACTCAGGCTGGCCTCAAACTACTAGCAATTCTCCTGCCTCAGCCTCCTGAGTGTTAGGATCACAGGTGTACATCATTACAGCTGGTTTCATTTCTATTTTATAGCTAGGAAAAATATACAACCTGAAAAACTCCCAAAAGTCACCCAGCTAGGTAATGCAGGAGTTGGGATTTGAATCTAGTCTGCTCTGGTTGAGCATCCCAACTTGAAATGTATCATCTTTCCCAGTCCCAGCCCTCTCCTATTCCCATGTTCCCTGTCCCTTGGCCTTCTCCCTGCCCCACATCTGAACCTCTGACCTGCCCAGTGGACCCTGACTAGGGGGGCTGTAGTGGTGCTGGGATGGGGTGAAGAGTCACAGGTTTCTTCAAATCCTAACTCAAGCCTCCTCTACCCCCTCCCACAGGCCAGGAAGATTCCAGCCAAGATCAAAGCTGGAGCCACAGAGAGGAGGGGCAGCCACCCCGGCCCCCAGGACACATTTGGTGAAATCTGCTGGGGTGGTTCCCTGGTTTTAAGAGGCAGCAGGATTAAGGCAGGGGGAGGAGATTTCTCCCTGGCCCAGCCTCGGGGTGCCCAAGATTTGAGGCTGGGGGAGGGGGAAGCCTGCCCTGAAGACTGAGCCGCCAGGTTTGTTTTCCATTTGCAAGTTCTTCCCGGCTCCTGCTGTTTCGGGGAAGTGGCCCCCACCCCACCCCGCTGGCCTTCCAGATCCTTGAATAAATAATTCAGGCCTGAGATCTTGCCAGGCCTTCTCCTGTGCTGTGCAGGCGCCATTGGACTGACTCGAGTGACGTCACCCAACTCCTCATGCAGCCCAGCATCACGGGACCTGTCCTGACAGCAGGTCACCTGCCTGGTCACTGTCAGGCCCTCCGCATGTTCCCTCACCCTGGAGTCACTTACCAGTCACTAACCAGTACCTTCAATCCTGGACCCTCCAGTCTTAATCATTAACTCTGTCACCTCAGTACTTCAGCACTTCTCAGGGTCTTGGTGACCTGAAGTCCCTTCACCCTGCCACTTTCTGCCACCCTGGGATTCCCAGAGTTCCTTCAAGCTGCAGAGTCGCCCTGACACTGCCATGGTTTCCCTGGGAGTCCTACCCTCTTCTACTGTAAGTGTCCCCCCACGCTTGCAACCCCCAAGATCCTGTCACCATGCTCACTCATCGCTGCCACCCACCTCCCTACTCCCTCGTGCTCCTGTCCCCATCAGCAACCCCGTCATCCTCACCGGAGACGCCCATTCAGCCCTATCATTCGGTCTCCGTCTCCTGGATTCCTGCCACTTGAGGGTTCCATCACCCCACTGTCTATTTGAGTGACTGCCCCAATTACATTCCCTTTG